CCACTAATAATGACATTGTCAAAATCAGATCCACTTAAGTCACATCTCACTAAATTAGCTCCAAACAGTGAAGTATTTCTAATTCTAATATTTTCAAAAGATTATTCCCTTAAGTCAACCTTCATTTAAACTAATAAATGAAGAGAATTTGATCCGCATTAAATGTATCTATAGTCTAGCGCTGTAATGCGAACTAAAAATTTTAGAAATTTTATAATTTTCTAATCCAGTGATATTTTTTTAATCAAATCTGTTTTAATTTTTTTATATTTATCTGATGAGTAATTCTGTTCATTAAATTCATGATCCTTAATTTTTTTGAGAACAAGCATAATTTTCTTAATGTTATTCATTCCAATATTGAGCATCTCTTCCTTTCCCAATAGTGAAGAATTTTCTACCTATTACATTTCAACTGCCCTTTGATTTTGAACTTATTAGAAAAATTGTAGACAATCTCCAATTCTTTTTTTTTTAACATTTCAAACATTACACTAAAAATTTATTCATCTAATTATTTTAATGAAGCAAAGGCCTCATACAGATCATTGCCTGATTTATACATTTTCAATTATTGTGGTGTTTTCACGATTCCACAGTTTCCCATAATATAAATTTAAATTAATATTAATTTCTATTATTATTTTTTGAATTTATTTTCTAAATCACAACAGTATCTTTCATGTTTTTCTTAGGATGAATTGCAAAGTTTTTAAATATTTGACTTTGATTTAAATTCTAATAGTGACAATTCACAGAAACTTGTGCTTACCATGAGATAGAGTAGAAAAAAAAGAAAAAAACAACACCCACTTAAAAAATCAATATTACAAGTTCATTTGATGATTCAACCTCAAAAAAGATGAATAGTTTTATTTCATGACATATTATTTACAAATCAAAAATTTTTGTATCACAATTCTTTCTCAACCCTTTTAAAAAAATTCTAATCTTAAATCTTTACAACCATTGAATTGATAAATTTCTTAAAAAATGCCATTATATATAGAAGGTGTTTCTCATTTGTTATATCTTATTTTCCATATCTGTTTAATTTAATTAATTTTTTTCCATACGTATATCTCTAATTCCATTTAAAAGTTATTATTTTCATTATTATTAATATTTTTCTATTTTTATTAAATATTATACCTCAACTTCAGGATAAGATATTTAATTTTAGATAACTAACTTTGGTAGAAAAATATTTGATCATTATGAATAAGAATTCATAAACAGATTAATATAGTTTTATTCACCAAAATTCTCACTACTGACAAAGCTAATAAGTATTAATTAATTTTTATTATAATTTATCAGTAATCGAAAAAGAGATAATTTGATTTTCTACTTACTCTAATAGATAAATCTTAATATATGGAATAGCTTCTTGCAGATTGATTAATTACGTCAGCATGTACTATATCTAACGTAAAGAGGGTCGTTATAGAAACCAGAATGATTAATTTAAAACTCTATGGAGACAACATATATAATTATATTTAGTTACTTTTGTGTTAGATAAATTTGATATAAACTAAAATTTATATTCCACAGTATTTAATCTGGAAATCGAAATTCACAGAACAAGATCTGAATCATCTAGCAAATCAAATTATTTTTACCTTGTTCACATATTTTCGAACTTTTGCTTCTGAAAATTTTTTTTCAATTTTTGTTAAATCAAGTATTCAGATGTATGATTCTGTTCTTTGTCACAGAATAAAATTTCGATTTTATATTTTACTTATTTTGTGCGTAGTTGACAATTTATTTTAGAATTATTATTTTTAAAACTTAATTAATATTTAAAAATACACAAGTAACCTAAATTTGGCATATAGGTAGAGTTAATAATATGCAAGAAGGAGACATTCATTGAAATTTTGATCACAAGATCTCATTAAGCAATGAACTTTTGCACGCATTTATCATCCATGCTTCAAACTAGATAAGAAGAGTAATTGAATTTTGTAAAAATTAATTTTAAAAGTTAATTGGAAGTTACAATTTTCAAATAGTGCTTGTTATATAAATTGAGCAACCTAACAGGTAGTGATTATCATTTTGTTTACACAGCAAGGCGACATTTTGATCGGCTGCTAGAATTCTAACACTCCTATTGACAAAATAGGAATGACCAATCTCGTAAACAGATTTGATTTCCAGGAAATTCTCTCAAGAGGCTGATAAATACAAAGTTTTCAATATCCACGATTTAAAAAATATCATGTAAAGCAGTTTTGAGCTGTTGATCTAGCTTTATTTGCACTCAATTTATGTATATATCAAGTAGAGCTTCTATAAGAATATAGGGGCTTTATATCTCAAATAGCGCAAAGATAAAGAGGTGAAGCTGGTGTTTCTGATCTAGATAAAAACTCTAAATTTAAATTAAATCTCTAAAAGTAAACAGATAATGCAGCCATAAAATACCAACATAGTGGATTTGAGATCCACTCATAAATTAGTAGGCTACATAATAACTTTCTGCTAAAGTTAGTCTTAAACCAAGCACGAATAAACAAAGTAAGATGATTATTAAACATGATTACTGCTCTATATTATTATTATTATACTTGTCCAAGCACAAACAGAGATATTAGAACATATGGGCTTGCTCAACTGTAATTCATTAAATGTGATGAGCATATAGTTAAATTAGCATGCTAGCCCCATGTTATCAAATGAAATTTATAACATACAGAATAAATACTTACAGATCAGTGTCTTCTAGTTTTGCCAACATAGCGTTTTTGCATGTGGTTGTCTTCAAGCCTGTAATAAACTTTCATTCACTTTTTGGTTACCAAAAATCCTGATGGAAACTTTGACAGATTGGAATTATCAACTTCTATCATACACTTGTAAAAGTTAGGGTAGAATATATGTTTATCCTTCATAAGCATAAATTTTCTTATCTAAATTTTAGACTTCAGACTATCCCCTTGAGAGTAATTGCATGAAACAAAATGTTAAGTTCCACTTTTGACATGGTCAATCAATTCAATTGACTTAATTATTAAAATAAGTAAAAGTTGCTTTACATTTGTAATAATTAGGTTAGTTAGGTTGTAACAATTATTAAATTCGAACTTCTTTTGCTTTGATATTTGTTTTATTTAGTAATTAATTAACTATTAAGTTGATGTGTTCTATTTAGCAAGGATATATGTTCATTCTTTTGCCAACATTGCATAACTTTTTAATATTGAATGATTTTACATAAAGCCTGCTCTACCTCCCAACTCTATGCTTAGCTTATAAATATCATTTCTAATTTCTGCCTTAAACATTTCCCTATGCTAATATAACATATAAAGAAAGGCATCAGATGAACTCAATAATGATGGATATTGCAATCCCTTTAGTTATATTTCAGCCTTCTGAATAACAATAAGTCCTTAAAATTATGACTCATTTACAGCCTCGTATTTCTGATTTCTATTATAACAAATTGAAAACTAGTAATGTGAATACAATTTTTGAGTTTCCAGCTAGAAGTCCTCTTAAATAAATCCAAGCTTACATTATGCCATTTAAAATTACTGCAACTAATCCAAGCACTGTTAATGCTATGCTTTCTGATGCGTTTAGTGGTTGTTCAACCTATGTTGTAGTATTAATCACACGTGTTGTACTTCAGCAGTGAATGATAAATTTGTTTTTCATCACATTGGAACTGAAACCTATTTTAAAGTTCAAAATTTCTTCTCAGTATCAATATAATTGTAGGCACTTAAACTTGTAAGCTAATTGCTTCAATATGCATCACCTAATTAGTTTTGTTGATATGGTGATTTTAATTTTAATTAGTTGGTTTATTTATGTAGCAATAAAATATTTACTCACAAGATTAGCCTTGTGTTACAACTGTAAGTAGGGTGTTGCAAAAATGAATACTCGCCTAAGTCCCCTTATTTTACATGCTCTATTTATGTCCTTACAAATTTTTTGCTATAGATTCTCCTGCGCTAAGAGTATTGTTTTTGTGACATAGTTTATTTTGCTTTCATGTATATCACAAAAATGAATGTGTAATACTGAAATTATAATTGTTGCTATTTTTTTTAAATATTTGTTGAAGTCTATAGTTGAACACGATTAGAAGTTTTCCATATTCCTAATATTATTACTGTTTCTAGAAAATATGAATCCCTCTTACAATTTTCGTGCTAATTTTTAGTTTCATTGATATCGAATTTCATTTGCTTATGGAAATCGTTCCTTTAAGCAATAGAATTCGAACCAACAAAAACTTTATAGAATGGATATTTGTCTGACTCTTCGTTTCTTTAATACTTAATGGTACCAAACTTAACCTCCCACTAATTAAATCTTATGCACATGCACAAGCACAATGCTTAAAGTTAGTCAGATACTATTTTTCCATAGTCAGCAATAGTCAGCAGCATATAATAAATATATGCTTTCTAAGATGGAATAGTGCGGCTTTCTGTATATTGCTTAAATCATCAACATAAAGTATTTGGATAATCATTAAAATCTTCTTATGCAGAAACAACTCTACAATATTTAAGTATGATAACACTCCCTACTTTGTATTATTCATCTTGACCCTGATTAGCTGAATGAAATAATTTATTGATGGCTTTTTCAGAACTTGATACCGTCTATATTATCTTCAGGAGTTATTTATCAGTTAATAAACTATCACTTACTTAACTTATTAGTTACAATTAACACAATATATGAAGCATATGTTGGCTTGCAAGGTTTCTCTTTCGACAATACGCAACAGTTTATGTAATTTCATAGTACACTTTTCACTATTGTCGAACACTTTACACAGTTAAATTTGGCAATAGTTTACGCAATAATAATATTACACATGCGCTTAATTGCTATATATTTTGTGCTTACGCCTAATACACCAACAACTTAAACTTTAAGTATAATAAATAAAAAGTACTTGTGACATATTTTCTGATAAATGCATTAATACTAAATAGGACATATGTTCAACTTACGACCTTCAATTTTAGTCATCATTTAATTTTTGCATTGGAAGGTTCAAGCATAACGCGTTATTATAAGGAGCAGAATTTTTTAACTAATCTTTCAAAATATAATTATACTTATAATAGTATAATGATGTTGTTTAAGAGTATCCTTATCAAAATTTGATTTGTTATTTATAATTAAAATAATATATAAGAAGAAGAGTATTAAGGATTAAATGAAAGCAATTACAATTACATTCTTTTTTGAAGTTTAAGGATTAGAATTTGAACTGCATCTATTTGCTGGTGCATTTGGTTTGATGCTTAGTTATATTTGATTTAAGGTCAAGGTCTATTCAAATCATATCAATATCCATCAAATCAGGTTTTTTTCTTGTGTTTAATATTAAGAAATTAATCTTCTATTACACAACACTTACATTAATTTGGAATCATTGATGCGAACTTACAAAAAGTTAACATGATAAAGATCACTTTTATCAAGAAATAAGGAAGCATCACATCAATTTGAAAATTCATTCATTGAATTTTATGATTCTTACTTGAATTATAATTATAGGTGTAACAAATGATTAAAAGATGAAACTGTAAAATTTTAATCTTCACACAATTACGTGCAATATTCATAAATTACAATTTGATAATCAAGTTCTTTGAAATATTACTGAGTTTTTGTTTGAGTTTGAATTTACTTAGGGCTGCATATTTAGAAACAATTGGTGTGTCAGATTTAGAGAATTCATGAACTACTATTTAATACAAGTAAAACTATTGCCATAAAACACTTGTATAAAACTACGCCCAATTTATTATTCATTATAATCTGGAGGAAGATAGAATCATTATGCGTGTGTATTGTGAAAATGTTATTTGCAATATCTTTTGCGTAAGTAGAATGCGACATTAATGAAAGAGAAAGCAAAAGTTTGCCATATTCTTGCCAAATATTATTTGCAATTAAAGTGCTAGCACTTATAATTTGTCTATGAGAGCATTTCATAATTTACGAATTTTTTGAAAACTGTAGCTTCATATAATACAGAAGAATTGTATTGCCACTATTAGAGTAGCAATATAAAAACAGGGTACCAAAGCTAAGTACATATTTTAAATTTTTAAGTAGTTTGTCAAGAGCCTTTCTAATAAAGTTTATAACTTCCATACTGTATAATATCTATTAAACAAAAGGAATAAGCAATTATAATAACAAGCTTTGAATACTAATAAAAAAAAAAAAAAATCTATTTACTTCTCTTTTTGCTGTCCTAACAACACCCCATAAAAGAATAAAGATTCATATTTGGGCCGTCTGAGCTCTATATCTGGGATGCAGGTTCCCCCTCCTGATTTTTGAATGAACAAACTATGCAGGTGCCATCCCGAGATTAGTGAATTTGAAAATTTCCCAAATGAGAATAAAATACCAGATAACTAACCTACTCACAAATAATTTCTTAAGGTTGACCTATATTTCTTATATATTAAAAAGGTAGAGAGAGTTGATTCTGAAATAGGAAATTCTATTTTAAGATTATTAATATTAATCAATTTTCATTGTTTCTATAATTCAAATTGGTTCTCTAAAATGAAACTTCCTTTTTGTTTAAATAATTTCCTCAAGTCGATGCCTGATTGATTACTAAATTGTCCTTTCAAAATTAGAGCTCCTTAAGTGCAAAATCTAAGCTATTTTGATATAACAAGGAAATTAACAGGGGAAATTACTGATAATAAAGAAAAATAAATACAGCCTTCTTAAAGATTGATGTTTCTTAAACCTGAAACTTAAAATTATGCAAGAATGTCTTTAAAACGATTATCTGGATATAAGATTTCTTATCCTGACTTAACATCCCATAATCTGATAGACTTATCTTAACCACCAGATGCTAATGTAGTACCATCAGGAGAGTAACAAATTGAATAAACTGCTCTTGAATGACCATCTAATTTGGCTTTTTATTATCCTGTCTTAACATCCCATAAACGGATAGA